GCTTTTCTCCACGGTGATCTTGAGGAAGAAGTTTATATAGAGCAACCACCTGGTTTTGTTGCTGAGGGAGAGTTTAATGATTGTGTGTGCAGATTGCGCAAGTCACTATATGGTTTGAAACAGTTCCCTCGAGCTTGGTTTGGTAAGTTGAGTACAATTATCCAGGAGTTCGGCATGACTCGTATTGAGGCTGATCACTCTGTGTTTTATCGGCATTCTGCTCCTAATCTGTGTATTTATCTAATGATTTATGTTGATGATATTGTTATTACTGGTAATGATCAGGATAGTATTACTAATCTGAAGCAACATCTCTTTCAGCACTTCCAGACTAAGGATCTGGGTAGATTGAAGTATTTTCTAGGTATTGAGGTCGCTCAGTCTAGCTCAGGTATTGTTATTTCACAGCGGAAGTATGCCTTAGACATTCTTGAGGAGACTGGAATGATGGGTTGCAGACCTATTGACTCTCCTACGGATCTGAATGCTAAGCTTCTGCCTGGACAGGGGGAGCCTCTTAGAGACCCTACGATATATAGGAGGTTGGTTAGCAAATTGAATTAACTCACAGTGACTAGACCTGACATTTCTTTTCCGGTGAGTGTTGTAAGTCAGTTTATGGATTCTCCCTGTGATAGTCACTGGGATGCAGTTGTTCGCATTCTTCGGTATATAAAGTCAGCTCCAGGCAAAGGATTACTATTCGAGGATCGAGGCCACCAGCAGATTATTGGGTACACAGATGCTGATTGGGCAGGATCACCTTTTGATAGACGTTCTACGTCTGGATATTGTGTTTTAGTAGGAGGTAATTTGATCTCGTGGAAGAGCAAGAAACAGAATGTAGTTGCTCGATCTAGCACCGAAGCCGAATATCGGGCCATGGCTATGGCGACGTGTGAGTTAGTTTGGGTCAAGCAGTTGCTCAAGGAGTTAAAGTTCGGAGAAATCAGCAAAATGAAACTAATGTGTGATAACCAAGTTGTTCTTCATATTGCGTCAAATCCGGTGTTCCATGAGAGGACTAAACACATTGAGATCGACTGTCACTTTGTCAGAGAAAAAATACTTTCAGGAGATATTGTTACAAAGTTTGTAAAGTCGAATGATCAACTAGCAGATATTTTCACTAAGTCTCTTACTGGTTCTCGTATTAGTTACATGTGTAACAAGCTCGGTACATATGATGTGTATGCACCGGCTTGAGGGGGAGTGTTAGTTTATAGATATGTATAGTGTAGTCTTGTCCCACATTGGAAGAGGAGTAATATCTCCTTGTAGTGTATAGCTATAAATAGGAACCTCTTGTATTGTATTTGTCATCCAATATCAATAACATATTTTCTCCCGTGCCTTCTCATAGTGCATTTTGAATCTACTTGGCAGGTGTGGACCATGTTCATGGCTAAATTTGGCATCCGTTTGCATTATTTGTACTATTAGAAAGATGGAAATGTTGTCAGAAATTTACATAACATGCTGGACATGCTGGACTGCTTAGGATGTTAATGTTTTTAAGCCAGCACTATCTCTGTATTTTCACCATATCATCTTGATACTGTTTTTAATAAAATCTTCACCTTACCAAAAAAATCAGGAAAAGTAAGGCAGCAGAGTTAGCTATGACTGTTTTTGTCAGGCAAATGAAAACGGCTACAATTGAATAGCATAGAAACTCAACAGCTGAGTTGTAAGTTTAAGCAGGATAGCAACTCGCTTAAAACTAGAAATATTTTCTATTTTTATCCTCCACATAGTGAAGGGAAAAAAAACAGTGTCCCATTGAAGAAATTTTGAATGCTAGTGGCCCTAACACCCCACTCACAAAAAACATTTAAAAAAAGAAAGAAAGAAAAAAGAACTGAGTCTTCGGAAAACACATGAGCGCTTTAAATCTCTACACAACATTATGAGGAATAAGGCCAAAAACTGGAACACACAATTCAATCTAACCTCATCAATCCCAGAAATGTTAATGCATAAAAAATCGGCCAGAAAATCACCTGCAACCTAATTGGCTTCACTCCCAGCAAAACAAGACGTTCAAACAGAGATTGAGCAAGTCCAGCACGAGCAGCTTTCTTGCACATAATGACAGGTCCAAGCTGGCAGTGATCACCAACAAGGACAACCTAGCACATAAATTACAGTAAGCATCTGCCCATTTGTATAGCATACCTTAATATGAAATATATATATTTATTGATAAAGGTAACCTTAGTATGAAATATATTGCAGTTGTTACCTGCTTTGCTCCAAGAACCAAAGGAATAAGGCATTCAGGTTCAGCTGCTTGAGTGGACTCATCAATGAGCACCTAACATGAGGTCACATAGCAGAGATGTCGAAACCATTAAGGAAACATCCAGATGAATAGAAAAACACACAAAAAATGAGGCAAAAATAAATGGATAAGAAAATGAAAAAAGAACTAAAGATCCTCAACATCTTATTCTAAGGCGAACCAACCTGACGGAATCTGAAATTTGCCAATCTAGGATCTCCAGCACCAACACAAGTGCAACAAATCACATCAGCACTTTGAGCTATCTCCCTCTCTGTTGCCCGCTTCAGAGCTTTATATTTCTTCTCATCACTGCTGGAGAGTTCTCCTGAACATCGATAAATCAAATGAATTTGGATAATGCGCACACATTTAGCAATGCTGCTAATAAAGGATCGAGTATGATCATAGAAAACCAAAGACTATAAGCTAACGAATCCTTACACAAATCGAAACACCAATATCCATGAAGCATAAACAAACTAGAAGAGAAAACCAACCTTGTTCATCCTTCAATTGCTGTAACTTGTGAAGTTCACTCTTCTCAGATGTGTCAAGATGACGAACCTACATGGACAAAGGATTATAGAATGAAAGGAGAGAAAAAGATATACATGCACTGATAGGAAACTTATTCATACAAGTCTGAAAATTAGCAATAACTAACCTGATAATGAAGGGTTAAATGCTCAACAGGAGAACTGACAGCTTCTCTTGACTTAGCACAGAGCCTGACAACCTGAGAGAAAAGAATTCAGAAGAAAAAAGCTGAAATATCATATATTTGATGACATTTCTGCTCATTTTCTGTGATTCCTACATTCCAATACTTTTTAAGTTCTCTTTCTTTTTTCCTTGTGCACCGGGCTTCCCTTTTCTTTTTGCCTTTAGTTGTGTGGTTATATAACAATCAGCAAGATGCCTTCAGATTATGGAAAAGCACTCCTTCTAACCAGTCAACATAAGGAAAGGGGACAGAGGCGGGGGAAGGGAATATGTTATGTCAAAAAGGAAAGGAAGAACAGTCTAAAATTCAGTAGGATACTTCCATTATACAACAAAGACTGCCAAAGAAACAGGTGTTGATAACCAAGCAAAAATAGTGATTGAAATTGTTAGGATAGTTCAATGAAAGCTATCCAGCAGAGGGGGATACACACACAAATGGCAGTGCCTCACCTTCAGACCAGTAGCACTTATTTTCTCTGCTAATTGGTCCACAGCCACGTTACTGGGTGCACAGACCAAAACCTGATGAGAAATAGTCAAAGACACAATAGGGAACATGATCAAAATCAAGAGTTTAACATTGAAGACAAAGTCAACTTGTACACCAATTAACTTACCTGACCCTGGTCTTGCTTGGCCATATGATACACGATGGCAGCCGAGGTGACAGTTTTCCCCGTACCAGGCGGACCTTGAATTAAACTGACGGGCTTCTGGAGAACACTTTTTACAGCGAAAACCTACAATACGAACATGTATAATAAGACAATATTATTCCTCTCCCTTATTCATTTTTTTCCATTGGAGATGTGATGAGGCGAGCATTTCTTTTCCTTTTTTCTTTTTGGGGGTTGGAGCAAGTGGATTTCAGGCACCACCTTCACGCCAATTAACTAATAGCTGAGGGGAGGGAAAATCCATAAGAAGAGGGACCAAACAAGACCACCGGCAAATTGGATATAGAATTCTGGCGATGCATAGTTCCACATGGTGACATTCACGATGCAGGAAGCTAAAATTTTCAATAGCAAAATCTCAAAAGTCATCTAACATGACCATGTGCAGCTATATCTATGCACAAGTGTGCAGCTATATCTATGCACATCTCTTTCTAAGGAGTGCACTTGCAACAATTCCACTTGCCCAAAGTACATACTAAAAATATTCCTAAAAAACGGGTAGAAGCAAGATAGATATCGAAACTAGATAGATAAAACTGCTGTTTGAGAAACAAGAATAGAAGCAGCTATAAATTCAAAGAAAGAGAGAACCGCCAACCTGAGACGCGTTAAGCTCTGGAAGACCAGGAGCACCAAAACGGCGAGGAAGTGTATTCCGGACCATCTGCATCTCAACTTCGTGACCTAACAGGTGATGGTAAATATACCTGAATGGTAGAATCAACGAATCAAACATAAGTATTCTCATCAGAAAGTTATAATCTGGCTGACACAAGCAAAGTCTAAAATTCCACAAGTATGGAAAAACCCTACAGCTACACAACAAGACTGGAACGCAAAACAGGTGAGTTATCTTAACATTCAGCAACAGCAAAGTAAAGCAGAAACACTCAATTCTTTCAACACAAGCGCATAAATCACAGTATATGAATACTCACAAGTCAGAAAGCAAATATGAGATGTATCTATTTACGAATGCAAGATGTAAAAGTACAAATTTGAGCAGAATAACACGAATAAGAGGAAAAAAAGATATCACTCACCCACTGACACTTGTCTCGTCCACTGCAAAAGTTTTCATTGCAGTCTGCATCCTATCAAAGCTCGTACTCTTCCAAACAAAATCAACACTGAACCCATGGGTCACATCAACCGGAACTCCCTGCAAGACATGAACATTGCGACGAATAAGAACACATAATGCGAAGTAACTTTTGGGTTAGTCAGGAAAGGATGACAAGAAAATATAAAAAGAAGATCCTAAAACTAATGTACCTGACTGGCACGAAGCTCAAGGGCAACCTCTTCTTGAGCGGTTAATTTTATCTGAAAATGGACGAAACCATTCACAACAGAGTGTCGTAGTAAAAAAAAAAAGGGGGCCAAAAGACACAAATATAAATGCAGAATAATGCACTTCTCCTTCTAAGTCAACTTGCATGTGTTAAGGGTGTTTACAGCCTTAAGGAGACTCCATATCTTTTCCCTTCTAAAAAGAGTGAGAGATCAAGACAAAGTTCCATACCACATGGCCCACTGACTGCCAAGCTGGATGAGCTGCATTCCCTGAATAACGCAATCGTAGCTCATCACCAGGTACAAGACGTAACTCATTGTCTTCCTAAAAGAACAGCACCCTATGTTCAGTCCAGGTGAGTCAAGACACAAAAGAAATCCCACTTCAAGAAAGAATTGGCTATGACAGAAATGTAACATCACAAGAATCTCATGCTTGATGAGAGTCAATAGAGACAACTTTATGAGGGTAAATTCTACCTTCGCGAAAACAAAATATGCAACGCGCTTCTTGTTGAGACCAATATCCCATCGAACAGTGATGTTATCTTTACTTTGAGACTCTTTCATCATCTACCAAATAGAAATAAAATCCGAAAGCTTCGTCAGTTAAGCAGTATTAAACCTTAACAAAAAACAATACAAGACGGAGAAAAAACACTATCAGCAGGTTATTTGACACGGAAGGACCGCATCTTTCCCAAAAGGAAACAGTGTCTTAGATTGATCGACTACAGAATTTAAGCATTTGACACGGAAAGAACGCATCTTTCCCAAAAGGAAACAGTGTCTTAGATTGATTGACTACAGAATTTAAGCATTTGACACGGAAAGAACGCATCTTTCCCAAAAGGAAACAGTGTCTTAGATTGATTGACTACAGAATTTAAGCAAAAAAGAAAGAAAGAAGTATCTCCTAATTTAGAGACTACACGCATTTAGGAGCAAATGTACGGTTAATTATCACTTAAGACTATCGGATAGACCCTACTAACATGCAACTTTAATAGTACTACACCAACGAAAAGAAAAGGAAGCCCTACACTATCGAAAAGAAAAATACAAGGTAAATGATCCACTAAAGGAAAACAAATAGCATTTTAGGATGAAACAAAAAAACAAGAAAAAAGAAGGAACATAATGCACTCAAAATTCAGCAAGTAAAATCATCTAAATGGCTGACATACCTTATCATAGTCAGCTTCAAGATTGATCAGCGGTGCAAATACGTTTTGATACTACATTAGAAGGATAAGCCAGACTTAGTTAAATTGTCAACCACAGAAGTTAATGTATACAATCCAGGGCAAATTTACAGAGCATTCACTATACATCAAAAGCTAAACAAAATAGGATAGCAATCTCTACTAGACACCTGATAGGCATCTTCATACTTCAATCCAACAGGCTGAGGTTCATCATCCACACCTGGCTTCTCAAGATCTGCCAGGGTAGCGTCAGGATTTGTCTTCCACAATTCTTCAATTTTGTTTATTTGTTGAGCACTGATTTGGCGTGCGCGCAACTGTTCTTGCTCAGATGGGACCTGCAGCAGGCAACAGGTTATAGAAACAGGAGGGGAGCAAAACTCATAAAGCACCATAAGGAGAAACAAGAAAGGATAACCCAAAACCTTAACGAGCCACTGCAAGAAACACCTGTCATCGATAAGGGGGCACCACTGACTCAGATCCCAATTCATGTCCTTCAATGCATTAACACTTAGACATGGTTCCCTACAGAGGAGAACAACGACACTCTCTGTCTTGGCAGAGATGAAACCAAGAAGAAAGACATTCCGACATCCACAGTTGTAGCACTCCAGAATTGTTTCTCCCAGTGGACTGTCTTTATGAAGACATACCTCCTTGTGTTTCGCTCGAACCTATGGTGAATGTTGTAGAATAAACTTAGTAAATTCCAAGTGTCTTGTTTCTAGAGTGAGAATGACAGATGTGCCAACTACAGGACAATCCAAGAGTACAGCTATCAAATAAATATAGCTCTTAATATATTTTAGTTAATGCATGTAGATAACCCACTGTTTACTATAGTATCAAGAAAAAAATGTAGCATGCAGTTATGTGAATGTGTCCTATCTTATCAGGTAAACTCACATCTAATGGACATTGAACATGTAAAAAAGAAATATCAAATAGAGTAAATCAACTCTCCTTAACAATCAGCAAAAGGTGATGCCCTAGCTTTTCAGCTTGATAAAATACAAATAACAGTTCAAATTTTTTCTCGACATCTAAAAATATGTACTTGCAGAAGAAATAAAATCTTCAAAGATCTGAGAAGAATCAAGTTATCACTTATCAGAACAAGAAGATATTGACACCACAAATTATACGCCCTCGAGTAACTCTGGAGGCTACATGATTATTAGCATTCCAAACAAAAGACTCAGGGGTCTAAGAAACAATGGCTTCATATTCCCAGGGTTGAATAACCATTTCCATGTCCCACAGAAAGAACTGAACTGAGAGAAAACCTCATCAGTAATAATAGAGTCCCGAAAGGGGAAAAGAGCATTTTTTTGGAGCCACAAAAGATTGTTCATCAGGAGTGACCAATAAGTTCAGTTCCTTTTTTTTTTTTGATAAGGAATAAGTTCAGTTCCTTAAATTACAACTACTGCTACTAGTGCGCTTTAACCCAAACTGGGAGTTGGTTGTCTGAATCCTCTTACATTATTTTTCAGCTGGACTTGTTTGATTCCACCTTTCAATAGTTTGTTTTCCAGTTCCTCAAATTGCAAAAAAACTCAATTTCTTTATATATTAAGAAATTAATAGTAAAGTCTTTCTGTTCCGTGACCCATAGAGTGGAAGTAAATCCAATATAGCAGATTTCACACAATCCCCACCAGCTGTAATAATTATCATCATCCTTGAAAGCCAAACTATGGGAGCTCAGTTCAATTCATTTTTTCTTTCCTCTTTCAACCAGAGGCAGCAACATCCGTCGTTGCATCGGACCAGAAGGAAAAACAAATCAGCAGGTCTGAACAAATTTGACAAGCAATGACTGAGATCATCACACCTCACGCCATTTTTGTTGATAAGTCATAACACCTCTACAAGCAATATCAAATAATGAGATATCAAGCAGCACTATGGTCACAAGTTTAAAGCATTCATATTCCAAAACACACTTAGAAGTCTTATGACTTCAATTTGCTGGTTCTAACACACCCAACAGCTTTAGATAGTCAAAGAGAAACAGAAACAAATGAAATAAGCTACATATAATGCAAAGGCTTCACCTAGTTCACTACCTTGGTTAGCGATCCACACTACTATTACTGACAATCCTTTTTGATAAATAAGTAAGAATCATTCACAATTCTTACTACCTTAAACATCAAACAGCATAGGTGAATTGACACATTTTTTTGTTGGGATCAGGAGCGGATGCATGCTTACCGAAGCGGTGTCACGCGACACCGCTTCGTCGGAAAATTTTACTAAATATATGTATTAATACTGTACGGAAACGGATAAGTAGGAAAAAATGACTCCACATGACATAAATTGTGTCTTGGTGTGTTGGTTATTTGTTTGATTTTGCTTTAGGAGGTCAAAGGTTCAAACCTCAACTAGCATATTTTTCTTTTGCAAATATTTGAGGGAACCTTTGTGGTTAAAAATTGTGATGAGCTGGAATTGAACTCAAAACTTTTTCAAACTTAAGACTCAACAAAACTAATGGACTAAGGCTATTCCTTGTCTAAAAGTATGATAATCAAAGTTATATCCCAGTTCTTACATAAATTTCGACACCGCTTACAAAAACTGCTGCTTATGCCTCTGTTGGGATGATGCTAGGATTTGAAGCCAAGATCTCATGGTCCTTTTGGCAAATTTTCCATATTCAAATAAATTAAGTATATGACAAAACACACAAAAAATGTAAGCATGCATACCAAATGATTAACAATATGAGAACCCGAAGTGTTCCCTCTCGAATTACAGAACCATTTGCGGCAAGATGGCACGTTGCACCTAACTACACAAGCAGGATTCGCTACTCCACAGTACTTGCAAGAATGTTCAACAGCAAAATCTCCTTTCCCATACTCAAAACTCTCATCATCACCAGTCTCTTCAAAATTCAACGCGCTCATCCCCGCCGCCGATGCATCCACCGCCACCGCTGCCGCCTTATTACTACTAACTTTACTATTGCTATTTCCTCCACCACCGCCACGTGATTTGGCGGAAGGAGAAGCGTCGGATGACGACGGTGGCCGCTCAGGAGCTTCCGAGACTAAAGAATCGGACGGCGTAGGCCACGCAGATGATCGAATTGGCTGCGAAAGCTCATGAAACTCAGGATAATCGAATTCCTCTCCCTGCGTGTTGAATTCCAAAAATGTGTAGGCATCGTTGCCCGTGTCCGGCTGCGACGCCGTATCGTACAGATTGTTCGCCTGAGACTCCATTTTCCGAACACGCTACTCCTTTAAAACTGTAATAATCACATACGAATTCAGGTTAGGATTAGGGTTTAGGAATTTGAACGTGAGGAAGGAGAAACAAAGGGAATTTGGATTTACAGAGTTTGGAAATGGAGCGAGATGAGAGAGAGATAGGAATATTTGTATGTATAAGTGAGTGCGTGTGTGTTTTTATTTTCGTTAAAACGAGGACCTAGGAGGAGGTGGAGAAATGGCGGGGTCACGTGAGATAAGACTTGGTGCTCTGCGTGATTGGGTGATTTCGTCTGGTCTCGTGGATAGCATTATGTTTGTCCTTTTCGTTACCGTACATTATTTAAACATTTCGATATTTTCCATATTCGATTTCTTATGCTATACTAATACCGTAATTAATTAAATTCGATATGATTTAGTTTTTGTTCTTTCGATTTATTCGGTTCGGTAACTTTAATTTATTCGATTTGAATATTAACTAGTGCATAGAGTCATAGACGGTAATATTCTTAAATAAAGTACTCAAAAATATAAAACTAAAAATGTTTGTTGATAAAAGTTTGTCCAAAATCAATAAATATCAAACGAGAGAAAGAAAACTGTACATAGAGGAATAAATTTAATCAATAGAAATGTCTTATTACTTGTTTAGAGTTAATTGATTAACTTAAAAAATAAAGAAAAGTAAAATTTTAGATTTTTTAATATTTATATTATAATTAATATTATGTGTATTATGTATTATAATACATATTTCGGTACGGTATCGATATTTTGGTATTTCATTTTAAAATACCAAATATCATACTTAATACTAATATTTTTTTAAATTTAACTAAATATCATACCGAATACCAAAATATCAAATACCAAATACCAAAATTTTCAATTTCGATATGATAATCGAATATTTTATCAAATTATGCATATCCCTAACTATGAGCACGTGACTCAAGGTGGCGCGTTAATTTCATTAGAATAGAGTGTTTCCTTTTTCTGGACAATGCGTAGGCGTAGTAATTTACGGTATCTAGCTAAAAAGGTCATTTTCTATTAGTTGTTGACAGTATTCTTTAGTAAAAATATTTATTTGGAATTCATTTTTATTCATAATTATTTTAATTTTAATTTCATATTATCATCAATAGTTAAACATGATAATTATCAATTTTTATAATTCAAAATTTTCATCAAAATATTACCCAATTTGCTAAATTATCAATACTTAATACAATAGTAATTGGTTTCAAATACGAAAATAACTTATGTTACACCAAGATTTACAAACAATGCTAGTTATGAAGCATTTACAATGCCTAAAATAAAATAGAACTAATTACAGTCATATGATAATTTAAATGATTTTATAAAAATTATTAAAGGATTAACTTAAAAATTACATTATAATGAGTGATAAATTCACTGTGCTACATCAAAATGATGTCATTAGACGAGTCATAACCAACAAGTCCACAATTTGATTGAATCAAAATGAACTTGATCAAAATAAAACCACAAATGATAAAAAATATTATATATATTTAAGTTAGGTTCGGAATAATCCCCTAACAGCTTGTTTGGATGGTTGTGTCACGACCCAATTTGGGATCATGACCGGCGCTTAGGAGCAAGTGTTCCCAAGTAAGTCTCATCGGTAATTTATAGAAAATCGGACAGAGTTTTCCCTGTTTTAGGACTATCCAAAAATAAACATGTCTCATAAATCAATAACACAACCAACCTATATCGACCAAACAAGTCATATCCTCGTTCCCGAAATATTTCCAATACAATAATATTAACTTCATCTCCAAGTAAACGAAATAATAGTCTAATACGAATCACAAGTCTACATCAATAAAAGGATATTTATGACTCATAAAAATGACTATGGAGCGACTCTAAGAGTTTTAAGAAAGACACTATAACGAATAAATAATAATCTTTGCCCACGCGAATAAATACGGGGCTCACCAGGAATTGCCAACTCGTGTACTCTAACTAACGGAATCCTCGCCTGCGTCTTCTGCTATCTCTATAAAAATAATAGCGGGGAGTAAGTCGCTAGCTCAGTGAGTAATAATATTTAACCACAACCGTTTTTGATAGGGACAAGTCAGAAAATATGCTTGTATAATAATCATAAAATATCATGAAATAAATGCCCTTTTTCAGAATTGGTAACAACAATCCGCCTTGTTTGTATTCATGTAAGCAGGAATCAATTAACAATTAAGTAATAAACTCTGTAAATATTGTCATATCAAATCTTATGTTTGGGAAGTTCAAGAAAGGATCATGTAATCTGTATCACTGTGTGGACCCCTTCGTAAAAGGAGTCAAATATAACTGTAGGTCCCTACTCAAGGGAAAACTGTAACTGTATGCTAGTTCTACCTTCTCATTAGCGAGGGTTGTAACTGTAATCAGTAATCTGTAAATACAAGATGCACCAGGTGTAACGAACCCGCCGTTAGCTATGGGATCCTTCAAAGTCTCTTCCCAGCTATACTTTTCTTTGTAAACAATAAATATTCACATAAAAGCATTTCCAAAATAGTACAGTGCATTTTAATTCTTATCAAATCATGTATTTCAATTTCGGTAACGGTAATCATATCTCAAGTAACAGTAAAACATGTCTGGTAACAGCAAGAACATTTTAAATAATTGTAAACCGCTCAAGTTAACTATTCAGTACCATATCAAATAAAGGACTTGTCCCATATGTAATTTCAAACATTCGGTAACACATTTTATTTTCAAAAATAATGTATAAACCATGCAGGTTATGAAAATACAAATTGCGGTAAGATTACTACTCACAGTACTCGTATAGAAATATCGAACTTGTCGCTGCGAGCACTTCGTTCAACTTTTTCAACTACCTATATTGTTACAAAACCAATCTATTTTATTAACTCCACGAGCACCAGTATAGACGGTTAAATTTCGTTGAACTTAATTCTTTCCTTGTTTTCATTCCACGGGACATGACTTATTTTCTACGGATCAACTAGTATACCCAACTCTCAGAATATCTCGGTATTCTCAAATAACCAAAACTAGTCCAGTATCTTCTTAAAAAAATATTCATATAGTTTATTTGCTATAATGTTAAAGAAGAAAAAATTCTTTTCCTTGACATAGGAATCATACGTAACTTAAAATATCATTGTTGCCCATAAAAATCAGTTCGTATTTAGAATTTTTTAAAGTTTGGATCGAGCCTCTTTCTTCTTCTTCTTCTCCTTTGTTCCTTTTATGCGTTCCCTTTTTCCCCACTTGTATAGATTTGTTTTAGACGCGGCAAGGTTGCGTGCCCTTTTCCCCCAAATCTTTCTTTTTTATTGTACTAAAATCCTATAAGAAAAAAGACTCAAAACTTCTTTCTAGTTTCCAGTTACGCTACTCCTCTTTTGGTGGGCTTTGACCCACCTATTTTTATTATTTAATTACTTGTTTATTTATCTTATTTTCCTCTTTTGTCTTTTTCAATTAAGTTATAGTTAAAGGATAATTATGCCCTTATTTTACATACCGGGTATTACAGGTTGCTACCTGCTGTATTATATCGTTACTTTAAATACAATATTTGTTTTGATTATTCTTTAAATTTTATTGTATCGTATCGTTAAATTCATCGTTACGTAACGACGAAAAATGTCATTTATGTAACAGTTAATTTGGTGTGGTCACGTCGTTACCTTATTTTTTTTCTCTCATCTTGCCTTTCTAAAATATTAAATAATCTTATTTTACTCTTTATCATACTTTTTTATATAATAATTCTACCTCATATCTCACTTTTTCATTATAATATTACAAGTTTATTCTTTATATTGTTGGTGCATGATATCGTAAACGACGACAAATAATACAATCTATTAAAACATTATATACGTCAAACGATACAATACAATACAATACGACCCAATACATTATGAAACGATATATAACAACCATCCAAACAAGCCGTAAATATATGAACATTTTTAATCCCCTAAATTTTTTTGGGGGAGGAGGGGGAATCAACACTTTTAATAGCCAATATTTAACAACCAGATTCAAGGAACTACACAGCGACATATGAGACCTCAAAAATCCTCGGGACATGTTTATCTGTAACTATTACACCACTACTTGAGACATGTTTATCTGTAACTATTAGGAATGGGGGAAAAGGAGAGGCACGTCGTCTTTTTCACCATTATTTTCACAATTTGAATATGCAAATCTTTAATTACCAAGCTAGCTAGTGACGTGCTTTTCTTATGGCAAAACCACACTTGTCCATATTGATGATAAAAACATCTAATAAGCTGCAGACTCAATGAAAAGTTAGCCTATACCAATGTAAGGTACTAACACGTACAGAAGACAAAATAGTTCATGGTTCATTTCATTAAATTATTGCCAAAAATTAAAGAAATAAGAAGTACAAATACAAATTGTTGCAAAAAGCCCCACTTTCGGTGGAATTGGTGTTGGAAATAAACCACTCAAATAATATTCACGGTATACGATTATAATAAATGCGAATTACTAAAATACTGTAACCAACGGTAATAATAAGAGAAATAAGGACACCGATATTTTTATGTGAAAAACCTTTCTGAATAAGGGAAAAATCACGGTCCGAGAGGAGCAACTGATTTCACTATAGTAAGGATTTTACATGGTACCGAATAAAATACTTCAAGACCACTAAACACTCAAAAGAAATAACCCTCTTTTGATTTTTTCACCTCAATATAATACCGCTCAAACTCTTTATATTTTTCTTCACAGGGTATTTTGCTTCTTACTGTGTAAATTACTCTCTTTATCTTTGTTTTGGTGTGATTACAAATGAAAGTAGAGGCACTTATTTATAGTTACAGAATACCCATGATGATGTATGTAATGACATCAACATAAAACGCAAAATAAAAAAACCCTAATGTTTGACGATTTACTTTTTCCTTAACAATAAGATCTAAACACGTCATCTCACATAAATAAATGCCATATGTTTAACATTTTAAACTTGACGAAATGGTCACACAATTTAACATCATCATTATTGTAACATTTAATAAGAGTACATTGGAATGTGAAAGTTTTATCACGGAGATCCTTTTTGTAAAATCTCCGAAACAACCTCACAAAAAATCTATGTGGCAGTAGATCTTGAAGCAGAAAAACTAAAGGCGAAATGGCTTCCCGGCCACTTAGACTTGTAGGGCATTTGAAAGCTGATAAATGAACTTTAAACTTTCTCATTTTGAACACTTGAACTCATGATTCCATTAACTAATAAACACATTTGTCGTTGACCATGCCTATTTGGCAGTGACAAATGTGATGTGGACAAAATGCGTGTCAATCACGCAGAAAATGCACGTGAATGCAATAATCTGATTAAAGAAAATACTTTATCAATAGGAAAAAAAATTAAAAAATGAAAAAGAAAAGGAAAAAAAGCCCCCTAGCATGTCGGTACTCATTTTCGCCCTCTTGCTTCTCTTCAACTTAAGCGAGGAGAGAGAGAGAGAGAGCATCAGATAGTTTAATTCCGGCTAATTTTGATATGAAGATTGTATAGTTTTACTTATATCATATGATTTTGGAGTTTCTAGAAAAAAATGGGGTTATATGATTGGTTGCCGGCGAAGTGGAGGTGGTAGCCATTGGAGTTTTGTGGTGGTCAAAAAGCACTCACCACTCTAAATCACCAATGGTCTGAAGAAAACCCTATCATCGAATTCATCTTCGTCAAAACACAAAAAATGACAGATATTTGCAATAGTATTGGGCGGCCTCCATTGTTTCAAAACCATGGATTCCTATTGATTTTTTCTGAAATTCCAAAATTAATTAATTTTTTCTAGTCTAACCATGAGCATAGTGGTGTTGTGAATTTGATTTAGAAATAAGAGAGAAACAGAACATTGAAGAAAAAGAGAAAGAACAAGAATCAAAATAAGGAAAAGAATGGAGGTGGGTGAACGGAGAAGAAGGGAGATAGATGGGTACGGGTTACTGGGGTAGTAGAGAAGTGTTAGATCTTTTTCCTCTCTTTCTTTTTTCTTTTTTAATTTGTAACTTCTTTTTTGCTGATTATTTATTTAAAAATAGGACCCGCAAATAACACATGTCAAGTAATAAATAGTCTAGCATATGACATGTTGTACATGTCAACGCAATTGATGTATCTATTAGTACTCATTCCGTGAACTTGGAGTATTCAAATGGGAAAGTTTAAAGTGCATGTATCGGCTTTCAAATGCCCTACAAGTCTAAGTAGCCAGGAAGCCATTCCGCCAAAACTAAATAGGTATTCAAATTGGTGTACACAGTCTATAAAACATCAATTTATAGTTTAGTTTGCTAACGNACACACACAAAAAAAAAACAATCTGTCTCTTCCCACTCTAACTAGTACTTGAAACAGGAAGTGAGAAGTTCCAAATTTTGGCAGAATGTTTTGATGAATTGCCAGGAAATTTCCTGTGCTGTCAAATCCTGTAGTGTTCCTCTTTTTTTTTTGGGTAATTATAGTACTCCTCTTCAATATATAAGTAGAAGTTCACAATAGCACATGAAAAAGAGCAAAACAGGTTAAAACTCCAAAATAATGTGGCATTGCTCTTTCTTTTCCCTCTCACTTTGCTGCTTATTCTTACTATTTATTCCTACACATTGTTACCTGATTTCCCCACCAGTAGTAGACTTGATCAACTCAACCTGCAAAAAATGCTCAGATGAGTCAGCAGACTTTAACTACAACTTCTGTGTTACTTCACTTCAAGTAATTCCTGTAACTCATGTTACCAACTTACAAGGAATAGGAATCATAGCAATGGAGCTGGCTCTAGAAAATGCTACTAAAACGATTTCGACCATAGAGAAGTTGCTTAATAGAAAAGAGTTTGATCCTTTTGCTATGGACTGCTTAAGAGACTGTTTGGAACTTTACGCAGATGCCATTGCAATGTTGGTGGATGCTTTTGGCGCGTTCTTGTCTAAGCATTTTAATACAGCAAATGTACTAATGAGGACAGTTATGGACGCGACATCGACGTGTGATGAAGAGTTCACTGAGAAGAAAGGAGAGTTGACACCACTAGCAAAGGAGAACTACAATCTTTACCAATTGAGTGACATATCCTGGTGCATCATTAAGCAAGTTTCCACTGTCCCTTCTGATCTACCTAATGTATCTTCTTAAGATGCAGCAACTACCAGTTGTGTACTGCATGGGACATCAAAGAGTTGCTTACAGTTCTTGTAGAAATACTAATCAGCAAGTCTTGTTGCCCCTGTTCCCCCTTTTCCTTTTCCCCCAACAAGCGTACTTGCACATTATATGTAGTTTAAAACATTACATAAATTAGAAGTCAAATAAAGGTGAACTCGGGAAGAAAAGGAAAATGGAACCAAAACAGAACTATGTAATCAAGTATGAATTATACTGCTGATGAAACATACAATTGTGACAAAGACGGTGCAAGGTTTTGTTAGCAAGAAAATTTAGTCAAAGCAGAAGAAAATGTAACTGGGGTATACAACCTTCAGTGTTTAAACAAAAAGATACATTTGCTAGTCCATTAATCAGAAAAGCATACACCATCAGAACATTTCCACAATGCTAAATTACCGAACACTATGACAAAACTTACCGGTAAGGTCTACGTACACACTACCCTCCCCAGACCCCACTTGTGGGATTTTACTGGGTTGTTGTTGTTGTATGACAACTTAAGGCAGGGTATTCTTGCATTCATAAAGATATATTGTTGAAAGACCACCAATGAACTGCCTGAGACACGAAGATGAACTAAACAATGCAAGCACCTGTACTGATCAGTAGGTACTTACAGTGGTCCAAACTGGTCTGGCTTCTCAGAGCCAATATAATTGGATTTTTTTCCAATTATTAAGGGATAATCACAACCTAACAGATAAAGACAGAACAAGTGAAAACTAGCATAGAAAATTATGCTACGAGCAAAGATCTAAACTTACAATATTCTCTTCACTAGATGGTGACTGCAGATTAGTTCCCAAGACATGCGCTGATATAGATATGTAGGGGGGAAAAACAAACTAAACCACCTAAAATAGCAGAATCACAGCCAATGTCTAGCATCTCCTTCTTCTTCTTTGATAATCATTAGGTTTCTCATTTGCACCTGCACTGAATGATGTACAACAGGTCCTTTTTTTTTAATAGCATATATTTAATTGAAAATGGTAAAAGAATGTTATAGCTTCTCATTTTTTGTGGTAGTGATTGGCCAGTGATTCGACACAGCCTTAAGGTGCAATAAATCTCGCTATAACATATTTCAAGCATCCCATTTGACCAATACAAGATAAAGCAGATTTTCAGATGTACTAATTTAAATCATACCCAACATTCACAGGAAATCAGGGAATAAAGATTATAGAAAGGATGAAGGAAAAAGTTCCCATCGTGACACTGTGTCTGTAAGCAAGAGAATAACCATTTGAAAACCATTTAGGTGTCTGGACATGAACATTTTTTAAATTTTGGAAGTTTTTAAAAAAAACCTGTTTTGCTAAAGGTTTTACAAAAAGATTTTTGCCAAGTAATTTTTGGGTGGAGAAGTGCTTTGAGGCACTTTTTGAACCATAAATCTTCTTCCCCTCACCAAACTTCAAAAAGCTAAAATTATCGACACATTCTCTTGCACAAACTCTTTTCTCCAAAAGAGAGAGATTATCAAAAACCTTTTTCCAAAACCTATCCAAACTTTATTTAGCTTTTCAAAATAAACGTGCTGAAAAGACAAAAATGAACACTAAAGTGGTTGATTTTCATAAAACGAAATGAAGAAACAATCTGCTCCATCCTTCCAGTATTTAAGCCACAATGGTATTTAAGTAGAAGAACTTGGATCATAAAAGCAGTTACTGAAAATCTGAAAAAGAAAAAACAACACTCCTCCAGTGTTAGAAAATAAGATGTTTGATCCAATAGACTAAATACAGAGCATAAGAAAGAGGTTTCAAGTTTAACAACACAGTTTGCAGCAAAAGTATCATTACTAAGCAGAGAAAATGAAGTGTTGGTTCCCATAAATAAAAGATGCTTACATTAGGAACTCTCTATGTCAAGTACAATGATGGTACCAACCAGGAAAAACACCGATGACAAAAGAGTGGATGTTTACTCAGAAAATGTCCAACTAAATATAACTTATAAGAGCCAAACATCGCCTAGGCACACAAAAATATCTGCACATGGACATTAAAGTTTGCCAACCATTGTCCATATACTAAAAAGATTCCATTCTCTTTGCATAATTGCAATGGAAGTAACAAAGACGTTAACTGGTCGGTTCTTATCACTAAGATCAATGCCAATACATAGTAAATATATATCACAAGGGATTTGATTGTTCTTGAAGAATCATTTGATCAATATGGGAGCTAATTCAAACAATATAATATGTTTACAGAGAAAAGTAAAAGTATTTTGTTAAACCGTTTCTCAGGTTCTTTCTTTTCCCATTTATTTCACTCCTTTCTCCAGGAGAAATATAGGGTATTGGGTTGCAGACAAGTTCATAGACTATAATGAATACATAAGCAGCATAACAATATACACTTTGCTTGTAGAAGCTGACACTGAAGCTTAAACAGAAAGCAGAGATGGAGAACAGGAAAACAATCTCAATTTATATAATTGGATATACTTACATACAAGCTGGTATTCTTTGCTTGGTAACACAAGTTTGTTCAGTACAATAAAATCTTTGGCAAAAATTGTCTAAAAGACTTCCAAAAAGTACTAATCTAGCTTAAACTTCAGCTGCATGAACCCCTTCTTCATCGTCTTCATCACTTTCATTTCTTTCATTATCTTTTTCCTCACCTGTGCCTAATAACAAACTTTTCTGTTCTACTGGAACAGCGTTTCTTTTGTAGTTCCAAACAAGCATTGAAATGTAATCCTGAGGTGAAATCAGACCTTGTTCTTTAAGAAAGTTCTGTTGCTCATCCAGAGTTTTTCGGTCACTCAGCTTTATATATTCAAGCAGTGCCTTCTCATGATCAGGCCTCCAAGCCATTGGAAAAGGGGTATAATCAGTTTCAGGTACGAGGGACATACGGGTATACATGAGACCATCAATTGATTCCACCAGACCCATCCTCAGCAAATTATGGTATTCTGGTGACTGTCCTTTTTTCTCCTTCAGAGGACGACTTAGAGTCCTAGAACCAATCTTGTAAACCTTTGCCCGTGACCGAAGCTTATATTTTGCAGCATAGAGCTTAGCAAGTGAACCTCTAATGATATAAGAACAAAAATTAACAATCTTTTTTCTATTATCAGCATATCTGAACCACTCCACCATTGTGGTCAAAAGCTTATTCATCTGAGCATTTGTATGGGCTTGAGTAGCATGAAACATTCTAAAACATGGCTGTGGATCTGGATCCCTGTCTCCCTTGAGAAAGTTCAACTTTCTAAATTGTTTAATGCATTGTTTCAGGCTAGCTGTGACAGACAACAGTGTCCCTACACCCTTTTCACTAATGATTTTCCCACCAGTAGCAGTATATCTAAGTGTGGGATAGACTACTCTACGGCACAATACATGATCAAGAAACATAATACCTTTTGTTATGTGTTCAATAGGAAGGCTCTCATTATCAAGCTTGAGCATGTATTTCTGATCACAGAACTCAATCAATTGCTTTCTTAGTGTTGCAGCATCTGCTCTTGGTCCCCTTACCCCTATTAGAATGTGACCACCAAAACGGATGTAGTCAATCTTCCTGGTTTTGTCAGGCCCACTCGTAGGAACAAATTCAGGCCAAGAAGTATTTCCTTGTTCTACTTCCCCTTCAGGACTATTCCAAATAACATCATTCTTTGAGGGCCGATAAAACTCCTGGATCTTACCTTCCATCCAGCGGTCCAACTCATCAAGGCAAACATTAGCCAAAAGCGGACTGAGTATACCACAATGACCCCATGAAGGAACTTTCGCGGCCTCCTCTGGAGCAAACCCAAAGAACGATTCCAGCCAGTATGGATCAGGCTTCGGCTCATCATCTGCTAGGACTCTCTTTTTCCGATACTTTCTTTTCGTCTTCTTCTTTTTCTCACCATCATCAGGTCTGCTAGTTACAACAGGAGTAGTTAATGCAGCCTTTATCAAATCAACTACCTTCTTATCACGTACATCCCTCATCAACGCACTTATCACCATCCCAACCTTCATCCCGTCCAAAACCGTACTTAAATCTCCCTTTATATACCACAAATATCCCGCAAAGCTTCTCCTAATAACCCTCAAAGCCGTGTGCGCAGTCCTTCCAGGTCGAAAAGCGAATGACTTTTGCGAAAACCGAGCCTCATAAACTGGCTCCAATATCATAAACAACACTTCCTGAACAACCCTATCTTGAAATGGGCTCGGCTGTGTTGTAGTCAAGATAGCTTTAATCTTCCTCTTCGACAACGACTCATAATCAGTCTTATCCCTCGGAGACTTAATGAAGAACTCCAACCTAGCCCCCCACTTAAACCTATTATCAAGAACTGCATTTCTCAAGGCCAACAAATCCTCAAGTGCCGAACGCGTTATCGCGTTCCGGGGCATATACGCACCCGTATCATCAGCAGAAACCTTTTGATAAGCCAATACCCACAATTCAAACCTCCTTAAATAATCAGTTAAATTAGTCACTGTTTTATCGGATTCTCGAAAACTATCAATCCACATTCTACAACAAAGTGATATACCATCTTCTTTCATTAAGGTGGCCGGATCATTCGGGTCCGGTGCTCTCCTATTAGTGTGTGTGGAAGTGTACATATATGCACTAAATACAGTGAACACATTATTTCTAGGGCTACAAATATTCAATTGTGGGATAAATAAAGCACTGATTTTTGGTGAAAAAAATGAAGTAATTTTCAGTACCCGATGACTGGAAATTACTATACGTTGATGCATCAGATATTTTGCATCTGTGAGAGAAAATTCTTCGAATAATTATTCAAAACTTAAGTTGAAATGAAAATTTGAACAAAATTTGAAGACAAAATTGAGGTCTTACCATATATCCCTGAGAATGAATGTGAAAGAGTAAGGGAAAATGGGAAAACTGAAAACCCTTAAACCCTATTACTGAACCCTAAACGGTTTTTTGATCCACGAGCTCTTTCGGTTTAAATTTGGATTCAAATCGGGTTATCTCACCAGCTATTCGGATCCAATAATGAGGTCCACTTTTGTAGAAATAGCACCATTTTAGATCATATTTTTTAAAAATAGCCACTGTCATGAAGTTTCACGAAATTTGAAAC